CAAGTGCTCCCGACAGGACACCGTCTTCATGAAGAAGGTTAGCAAATGTTACCCCAAGATACAGTGAATCCCCAGCAGGCCAGGGCCTGGGACCCTGTCCTTCCAGTCCCCCAGTCCCCCAGTCACTGCTGACCACTGCTCCCGGAGCCGGCCTCCTCCCTCTTTGTGTAGGCAGGATGAGCAGCCAACCCTCTGGGGTCAAGCCCCCAAGGTCATATTCATCACCAAGGCCAGAATGAGGACCAGGGCCAGTGACTGTGTTCTGCTCCTGCGACAATTTGGGCAGCGGCTTTTGTTGCTGGTTTGACTGGACCCAGCCTTCCCTAAATATGCACTCCTGCACGTGTTCACGTCCACTGGGCATCCTCTCCTTGGGGTTGGAAGTGGGATATACACAGTTTTCCCACTTTCTTCAGATTAGTTTTTCTATTCTTGCTCCTCCTGTCCCCACCCTGCTATGGTGGCCTTGCCCACACCCCTGTCCCCATCTCCAGCACTCCCAGCAGCTCTACAGACACATCTACCTGTGCTGTAAGGAGGAAACGAACACACAGAAGCACTACGAGGCACTCTACGGCTTGCTGGCGCTCATCAGCATCGAGCTGGCCAACGAGGAGGTGGTGGTAGACCTCATCCGCCTGGTGCTGGCTATTCAGGTGGGACATGGGGGTCGGGATCGGGGGGAGGTCCTGTTGTGACCAAACACTAATCGGAGTGCTGGGTAGCAACTGCTTAACAATTGTTTTGGAGCTGGGAATACTGTGCCCTTGGTTGGCCATTCCTCCATGCAGACCACCAGCCGTAGCCCTGTAGGTGAACCATGAAGAATGCGTACCCCATGGCTTCGGCCCATTCTCAGGCTAAAGGAGACCCAGGGAACAGGGTCGTTAGCCCTCAGTAGTTCAAGCCTCTTGAAGAGTCTGAATGGGACTCCAAGGATTGCCAAGAGGGCGCTTATCAGCCCGGAGTGATTCCAAAGCAAATCATCTGGTTCCCAAATTTGCTTCTGAATCGCCTCAAGCATTTATTAAAAATGCGTGTTTCCAGTTCTGTCCTGAGCCTGGGGGCCCGTAGATTCAACAGGCCTCTCTTGTGACTCTTAGGCAGGCGGTGTGACACTACATAAGGCTTTAGACTTCCAAGGTCTGCCTGGGTGGAAGTACACTCTAGGCCAGTGATGGCGAACCTATGACACGCATGTCAGAGGTGACACGCGACTCATTTTTTGGTTGATTTTTCTTTGTTAAAGGGCATTTAAATATATAAAATAAATATCAAAAATATAAGTCTTTGTTTTACGATGGTTGCAAATATCAAAAAATTTCTATATGTGACACGGCACCAGAGTTAAGTTAGGGTTTTTCAAAATGCTGACACGCCGAGCTCAAAAGGTTCGCCATCACTGCTCTAGGCACTGGGGTATGGCCTTCAGCTCTCAAAGATAAGGGTCTCCAGGGGCCTGGAGCTAGGCGGGCATTGCATCCTGAATTGTGGCAAGCCTGGAAGTTCAGTGGTGGCCAGTCTTAGGCCTCCTGCTTGATAGTGCTAAATCCTGCAAGGCCAACCTAGAAGCTATGATTGTCTTCATTCTGGAATTTGAGATTCCTTTGTATCCCAACCCCCTAGTACAAGCATGTCAAACTCTCGGCCTGCGGGCCGCATGCCTCATTTATTTGGCCCGTGTTCGCCTTTGAGTTTGACATGCTTGCCCTAATAACTCCCACAACTTGCTCAACTTAACATATGAACCCAATGTAGCAAGTCAATCCTGTCCTCCAAGCATCATGCAAGGTCTGTAGTGAAGGAAACAGCATCCTAGAGGTGGGCTTCATGATGACGGTTTGGATAGTCAAAGTCGCTAAAGCTGGAACTGCCAAGTGGGGGTTGAGGTCATCGCCTCTCATGGATTGTTCTAGGGACCACTCACTTCAGCTTTAATAAGGATGGCTTCTGACTTCCAGGAAATGATGAGGCAAATGCTGATGAAGCTTAGTCTAGAGCAGTGGGCCATCTCCCTACGGTTGTGGGGAGGTCAGGCAGAAGGTGGGGCACCAGTATAGTTTGTCAATTAAAAACTGCAAACGCCCCTCTGTGTTGCCACAGGACTTGGCCCAGGTCAATGAAGAGAACTTGCCTATATACAACCGCTGTGCCCTCTACGCGCTGGGCGCGGCCTACCTGAACCTCATCAGCCAGCTCACGACAGTGCCAGCCTTCTGCCAGCACATCCATGAGGTTGGTGTCCGCGTGACCCTGAGAAGTCCTTGTGACTGTGAGAACTCAGGAAGCCCTCACTTGGGGTTTCCCCAGAACTTTTCCTTAATTGCACGAGCGCTGTGCTTAGTCATCCTCTTCATTAAAAATAGTAGCATCATTGCTTTCTCGCCTCCCCCGTACACTTGCCTGCCAACTATCCTCCCACTTCTCACCATCTTAATAGCTTTCACCTTCCTTGTCAAAAATTTGCAAAGGATACCGAGGGAAACTCAGCATGTCACTGTCCATCAGGAGGTGTTTGCAATGCACCAGGGCTTGGGAACAGCGTGACCTGTGCTCCATTTTCCAGGTTTAAAGAGAAACCAGGAACAGGTCACAGAAGCAAGAAAGAACGGTCCTCTTGGGAGCTAAGTCCCCTGCATTCGGAGGACACTTAGTGCATATGTGTCAGTGGGGAGAGCTTGAGCAGACCGCCCGGCTGCTCTGAGGGTCTCTGTGGTCTGAGTTTCTCCCTCAGAAGCCAGCTGTAGGGCGCTCTGCCACCGATTTGCAGGAGGGAGGAAACACTGAGTGGGCGGGAGCTCTTTCATTTGCTTGTTCGGAGCTCCCTCTCCCTGCTGCACCCAGCTCTTACCTTGTGATTCCTCCCAAACTCCAGGTGATAGAGACCAGGAAGAAAGAGGCCCCGTACATGCTCCCTGAGACGTGTTGTGGAGAGCCAGGTGAGGGCGCACCTGGTACATGGTCCAGGAAATCAAA